CCCCAAAACCCCAAAACCCCAAAACCCCTGGACTCTAATAGGAAAAAATTACATGAGGACATACATTAAATTCTAATTATAAATAATCGTGTTAAGAGTTAATATATTAATGGACCCTTATTTTAATTACGGGAACGTAATCACACCTACAACAGCTTCTCAGCCAACATTACAGCCTTAGAATCTTATCACTATTTAGTAGGATTTTATTCCTTCTGATAACTTGCAGCAAGAACTGAAATTTCCAACTAATATGAAAGTAAATGTAAATAGCGACTGACAAACGCAATCTTAGCAAAGATCTATAACTAGAAAAATAAAGAAGAAGTACTTTCACACTGAATCAAGTGAACTAAAGAAGGTAAAAAAATTTGTCTAGATCACCCCTGCCAATATATAAAATATCAGTAATGCACAGAATGACAGTACTATATCTCCAGTTTAGATGAAGTCTGTTATGAACAAGGACGTGTAATTAAACCACTCTAAAAGTGGTGCTGCAGGAGGTCCAAACAATAAAGTTTTCGAATTCCAAAGCTTCATAGACGAATAAAGATAAAATTAGACAATTAAAAAAATAGAAGAGGAGGCTGAATTTAAAGAGTAGCAAGACAACCCCCTCACTCTAGATCTCAATAAAGTTAATCAGGAGACTTAAAATAATGGGCAGATGGGACCAGTAACGAAATAAATAAGATCTCAGAGATAAATAATTTCAAAATCAAGATAGTTTATTTAGCACCGAAATCCTACTTCAACTTAGCATTTAGTAACAGATGCATTTTACTCTAAACTACCTAATGGATATGTGTAATCCAAAAAGAGCATATTCTTCCTATAGAGCAAGACTATTAAATGCTAGCTGTCTAAAGACACCTAGGATTAAAACGAAAAAGCTCTACTAAGTCCTCAAAATATCCAGTAATTCGTAAATAAAAATGATGGAAACATAGTTGCTGGGACAGCATCATCTACTTTACAGTAGCCTACATAAAGTACTTAGGGTATTCCTCCACCTATTCTTCAAGGATTTTCTCCTTCACATTCAATAACAAGTCCTATGGCTCGGAAACAAAAATTCAATGCTTTAATGAACCCTAAGTTTCTAAATTAAAGAGAGATATTGCTATCGGCTTTAAGGAAAAATGAAACTAGGTCGCAGCATTAATCTCCAGCTAATAAAATAAATCAAGCTTCTGCTCATTCACCTAAAAATAAACTATCGCCTCTTCAAGTAATTAGCAATTAGAAAGATATTATACTTAATTCTGTGAAATCTTAACAAGTATTAGAATAGAATAAATGCAATGATAATAAATAAAAGGAGCATAATATAACTTAATAATCTCAAATAATCAAAATTTAGCAGCCAAAGCTAATCAAGCCCATTCATTAAACTAACTTAAAATTCTCACAGGACTAAACTCTCTCTCTAATATTCGATAAACCAATAGCCAGCAGTACAGCTTTATACGATACCAATCGAAATTCAAAACTGAACAAAAGTGATCAAAAGAATAAGCAGCAATCTTTACTCAAGCTTAGTTTGTCCAAGGCTAAATTAAACTAGGATCTTTAGGAACAGGTTGGAGAACCTAAGTAAGTAATTACTTCTAAAATATCATCGCAGAATATAAGTAAAATAGAGACAGTTACTAATATCAACTTTAATCCTAGCTAGAAAACTTTGCTTGCACAAAAGTCACCAATCAGACATGTTGATAATAGCAACAGTTATAATAAACCTCGCTTATTTAAGAGCAGTAATAAAGATCTTATTGAAAGTGCGAATGAAAGTTCAATTAAATTAAGGCCTAAGCTTGAAACAAGTAATTATGAGTCTGTGAATAATATCAACTTGATCAAAATAGAAATGAAATTAGATAAATAAATTAAATCACCTCCATAAACAGCTCCTAACTAAGGCTTCTATCATAAAAGAAATTCAATGGACTAGAATAGACATAGTGAATATAGAGTATTGAGTCCATCCAGAACTACGAGTAACTTAATTGATGTGTAAGATGGATAGAACCATGATAGTAAGAGTGATACTAAAATTAAGGTAATTAAGAATGCCTTTCATTAGGCAAGAATAATAAAAACTAGTGAAAGCAAAAGAAACATTCAGTGAATTATTGATCATTTTAATGATTAGACAATAGAAGATATAAGAAAAGATAGGGACTCGGATGTTCCAGACTCGTCTAAGATAAATAGGCTTATCAAATCAAGAAAATTTGAAGATATAAAGGAAAGAAACCAAGAACTTTTTTCAATATTCTAAGGGCCAAGCACCAACAGTAATAACAGTAATCACCTACCTTATAGAAATAATTCATAGATACAGAATTCCTTTGCCTTTGCATCCTTCAGCACTCCCAACTTACTAATTACTAAAAAGCAAGAATTTCAATAGTCTCTTTCTGGAATGACTAACTTAAGAAAGATTTCCGGCTCTCAGGCCAAAAGATAGATAGACAAGGCTCAAATGCTTCTATAGAATAATGCTGATATTCAAAAACGAATTAATCTTTACGAAAATAAATCAAGATCGGAATTCGCTGGACCATAAGAGGAGACCAAATAATAGTAGATTAGGAATGAGGTCTACTTTAATATAGTGGGGAAGTCAATGACTAAGAAGGACGAGCGAGCCCACGATGCAGCACTTTTGGAATTAGCATTGAAAAAGGGCTAACATCATCAGGATTTTAAGTACTACTTGCAGTACTCAGGGTTCTCTAAGACTGCCCGTTTTTATTAGTGAATAAATATGCATTTAAAATTATTTATTTCCAGATTTCTGATAATGAGTAGAGTTATAAAAATGTACAACTGAAGGGGTTTTGGGGTTTTGGGGTTTTGGGG